AAATCAAAGGGCAGGGGGACATTAAAGAAAAGCACTGTATATAGAATTAACTTCGTATGCGTGCTATTAGCGATTTGGAAACGCTTGTGTTATTCACTGCTGAATGCTTTATCTGCTCAGGTGGAACTTGAACAATGTAAGTATTCAGCCCACCCACATTTTCTTAATGATCACGATGATAGCTTCAGAGGAAATCGCCCGTAAGTGTGCACAGGTTTCCCCAAAAGCAATTTCACTAATGTTGATCTAAATGAGACAGAATCGTCTCGCAATGATTCAGAAAATATCCGGAGGTCCCGGAGAAATTGCCGAAATAATGAAAGGGAGAGCTATTTGTTTCGCGAAAGAGAACTTCATCAAGGGCCTCGATCAGTAAAAGCGATGTTTAAGGACTCGACGGAAAGAAAAAGTAGAGGATCTCATCATTAGGCCTCAAAAAGTAGAAAGATATGTCGGAAGTAGCAGTTAGAAATATTTTATTAGGGATTCGTACTCTCTAAGTTGTCAAGCTTCCAGTCGCTATAACCGGTTAGTAAACCACGCCAACTGTCGAGGGACACTGCAATCGCGAAAAATCTCGACAATTAGATATTGTGGTATTAGTTATTTATATGATTTTAACCTTTGCACCTATTAGATATATTTCACGTACAGATTCCCCTAGACATGCCTTAAGACCTAAAACCATGAAATATTTTTACTACTTTATTTGACAAAAAGAAATTTAAGATGTATGGCAGGTGTGGACTCGTGGCATAGTTATAAGGGTTTGTTCAAAAGGTACAGTATACTCATAATTTTTTTATAGAATAAGTACATCCATGCAGTCCGCACAAGACAAAGCGCACATCTACATATACCTTTCACCAAATATAATTCTGCTAGAAAGTGGGAAATCATACTACGCCATCAGAGACTTATATAGCTTATGAATATTTATTTTTGGCAAATCCGTTACATGTATTTTCATGTCAGATTGATGATAAACGAATATTATATTCTAAGTGACATATAAATCCGAACACCCAGTTTAAATGGTTTTATTTAATAAAAGTTGGTGAATGTATTTATCTTACTGTAAATAACAAGTGAAAAAATTTTCAGCCTTATCAGTTGGACATTCCGGTTTTTATACAGCTTTTTTTTAATTTACTAACGCTCTAAAAATGAATATTTCAGCCGCAGTAAAGAATCAACGTTGGCGGATTTTGGTTCTTGACATCCTTTACGATCGGTTACGATGCCTAGAGTATGGAGACCTGTACGATTTCGTCAACTTAGTGAGTTTGATAGGGGCCGTATAGTGGGACTTCGGGAAGCTGGACTTTCTTTTCGGGCAATTGCAGTTAGAGTGCAAAGAAGTGTAGACACTGTGGTTAGGTGTTGTCAGGCATGGCTTCGAGAAGGCCGTACGCAAAGAGCAAGGGGCACTGGACGCCGCCGTAGAACAACAGACCGTGAAGATCGCCGCCTAAGATTATTGGCCTTAAGGGACCGTTTCTCCACTACCAGGTCCATTGCAAATGAATGGTTTGCAGAACACGGAAGACCTATTGGCATGCGAAGTGTTTGCCGACGAATGAGAAGTTTTGGATTGTTTTCATACCGGCCACACTGGGTCCTCCCTTTAACTCGAGAACACCGACGTAATCGCCTTGAGTGGTGCAGACAACGGTCACTCTGGGATCAGGAATGGAACAGTATTGTCTTTAGTGACGAGTCTCGATTTTGTTTTAGGCATGCACGATGGTCGTGCCAGGGTTAGAAGGCGACGTGGTGAAAGGAGGAATCCACAGTTTTTTGTTGAAAGACATGTTCATCACACTGTTGGAGTTATGGTTTGGGGTGCTATAGCTTATGGTTCCAGGTCACCTTTAATCTTCATCAGAGGTAACATGAACGCGCAGCGTTATATCCACGAAGTTCTAGAACCCCATCTTTTACCCTATCTTGACACCCTGGCAGATCCAACTTTCCAACAAGATAATGCCCGACCACATGTTGCAAGAGTCACAATAGACTTCTTTTAATATAATGATGTCACATTGTTACCATGGCCACCAAGATCTCCCGACTTATCCCCAATTGAGCACGTATGGGATATGATGGGTAGGAGATTGCTCAATTTGCAACGTCCTCCTCAGACTCTAGAAGCACTTCGAGAGGAGTTGGTGGTTGCCTGAAATGAGATACCACAGGAGGACATTGACCACCTGATCAGAAGCATGCCTAGGCGCGTTGGAGAATGCGTAGCACATCAGGGTGCATCCACACATTATTAAGGTCAAAGGGCTTTAAAGCAGTGCAATCATTTTGAAATTTTTATCATTTACTTATTATGCTTCATTAAGTACTTATACAAAATTTTATTAAAATAAAACCATTTAAACTGGGTGTTTCTGGTTTATATGTCACTTAGTATATTACCCACGTCGGGCGCGACAAAGTTCGTAAACGTAAACGTGCCGCGAGCTGGCCGCCGTAGAACCTGCGGTATCCAAAAACTTCCAAACAGATCCACAGTGTCAATGGTTAGCCTCTTGGTATGGTTTGTTTGTGGTATTCAACGGCTTTGAGAATTGTGGCGCTAGGTTTGGCGGACTGTAATAATAGAAAAACAGAATTGTTTCAGAGATCGCATCTCAATAACCACTTCAAAAATTTTCCGTGTAAACTTAATGCGCTAGCATGTCCTAATGCTTTTTTACATTTTTCAATCACGAAAGGATATTTTCAAGCCAAATCAGTTCTACGCAGATTTGAAAATGAGTAGAAGTCTAGCAGCCGGCTGTCTGACTAAGAACGCGACATCTCAGCTCAAGATTGTTTTATTAGAAAACTTTTCACGGCAATCAGATTAAGAAAGTTTCAAGAAACTCAATATGAAAGAGCTTCAATCCCATAGGCGTCATGCTTTGATAGAACGCTGTCATAATTCTGACTTTTTCAGGCTTTCGCACCGCCTTCTTAAATGGGATTCCACAATTTTTCCAGGGTTTTGTTTTGTTGATTTCAACTAGCATTAGAAATAATAATCGTACAAATATAGTAGCGCGCGTCGTATCAATAAAAAAACTGTAACCTAAGTATAACGACGGCACGTGCCATGAAATCTACATGAAAAATGTTGCATCCATCGCCCCAGTTTATTTTTGGGCCACATTAAGGTTTCATGAGGGTCAGTCCGCTTTCTAAAGCCCCCGAGTGTATAGGGCTCGAACGGAAATGTAGTTATTCTCGTATTTGGGACGTGTAGTTGTCTCATCAATCTGCATGCCAGGAGCGACGTTATTCTATGGAAAAATATTGATGCTCTGACATGTTACGAATCCTCTAAGGAGCTCTCGTGCAAGGTGCGGGTATTACGATAATATTCGCGAGAACAGAGTGGGTCAGTGTTAAAACGAAACAGGCCAATTTTTCATGATTGGCATTAGGACAAAGCATTCACTCGGATCCGTCGATTATGTCACACCTTCACACCCTCGGCAGGATGAAATGCAACTCTTAAATCTTATATGGGATTATAATCCAGGCAGTCTATCAAATGTCAAGTTTCGTGCCCGGTTTCATGGAAAATGGCATGTGGAGAAATTATTTGGTAAAAACGGGTTACTGAAAGAGAATGTGCCAATGAAAAATGCTTGTCTTCAATTTTTTATTGGCAAAAAGTAGGGTTGGATATTATTTTTTTGCTGAGTGGGTGAACCTTAATCGCTTTTTTAAGCTCCAAAATACATACAGTTTAAATCGAGCAAATAATAAGTTCATGATACCTAGTAAATTTTCATGAAAAATCCGCTGTATGTAGGTATATAAGAGCTTTCTTATGTTGGTTCATCAATTTGATGATACAACACATTTGCCAAAGATGATCATAATCAATAGTAAACTGTGACGAAGGTCCACTGTATGTAAGAATTTTCAGATACTTCATTTGCAATTTGACAACAGACCATGATGGTGTTCACACTTTTCAAATATTCTTCAAGAAGTGTTATAAGTCTAGCTCCAACTATCATAAGTACTATTTTTGTGTTCCTACTTTAAACCAGCAAATTTAAAAGATTCGTGTCGCACCCTCAACCACGGGACGTGATCGTCGTTAGACTTGGCAACCCTGCGAGTGACAGATAGATATCCCCGCCAGTCAAAAAGACAATCAAACAATAAAGATTACTAGTTTTTATGATTTTTGGACTTAAAAGACATTATTTGTGAGACACTTTTCATAATTTTCTGTCTATGTCCATAGTAATTGCAGTACGCATCAGGGATTGATCTTGCACATATTATCTGTGTTTTAGGATGGAGAGGACATAATGTTTTTATTGCTTTGAAGAAATTCATTATTATTACTATTGTGATGTAAAGGAAGATGAGGAATTGGATGGAATGTATTTTATATTCTATTTTCTTGTAAAATACAGACAAATTCACACTATTCAACAGGTATGTAATGATAACAGTATATTGAACTTAACAAATTCGAGATTGCCATGCATAACAAACGTCCAAATCTGCTGCCAAATTTAACAGCTAGAAAATCGACCTATTATTTGCCGCATTCCCATTGGCTTTGGGGATAACTGATAGTTAAATGTAAATTAATAACAGAAATCAAAATACATGAAAGTTGTCCTGTTTTCTCTGTACAAAAACATCATGTTGGAATCCAAAAGTGGTCTTGTTTATAATACAGTCAAATTTTCACGATTTTATTCAATATTTTAATAGAAATCACTGATATTCAGAGATCTTTGTCAGCTTCTGTCAAATTGCATTTCGATAAAGCATTTTCCCATTGGTTCATAATATTAATGTTGATGAAATTGGGCCTTAGTTGAGCTGGTAATTGGGGGCATGAAATATCAGCTTAGTGCAAATTGCCATGTTTTGTAATTAATGTGGTTATGTTTTGGGATATTTTGAGGTTTGGTGTCAAAGTAATTTCGATTTATATCCAAATAAAAAAAGTTTTTCAACAGTGTTTGCGCCAAATGCAATTCAAATCCTGGAAGGAAGATAGATTGAAGGTAACTAGAGTGGTAAGCCTGGAAAGAAAGGTGATGCGAGAAGAAAGTGATTCATATTCCATTCAAGATACGCGATTTGTGGAATTGTTTCGTTTAAATAAAGAAATGGCGCCTTATGCTACGTTATATTAAATGCTATTCTTCAACAACGCTGTTCATATAATTAAATGATTAGCAAATAATAATCTTCTTTCCACATATGGTATGTAGATGTACGATTATGAGTAAATGCCAGAGTTTATTCTCTATATATTGCCGATGGGACAGACCGACAGACAGACAGACAGACAGACTGTCGGAAATGAGTGACATGGTTTATCGTGATGTACATATAACACCCAAAAAAACATTATTTCTCATTTTAGATTTTTTCGTATTTGCAATAATTCCTCGCAAGTGACGTGAGGAGTATATATATCTTTGTCAGAATCCTTTCTACCACTTGGTCTGAGGATAGGTGTTTTCCAGTTCCGATAACAAACTTTTGCCACTGTTTTCTGTCTCCTGTCATTCTTCTTCCTTCTTGTGCTGATACCCCTTTTTCACCAAAATCTGGTATATTTCCTCATCCCACGTCAATCTTGATCTTCCTCTTCCTCGCTTAGAAATTGCAAACCAGCGTAACTGATTTTGTTCGATAATTTGGTTACTCTCTAACTCTTTCCTTATGTCCTCATTCCTAAGGAGATCCATACATTTTGTTACTTCCAACGCCATATTTAATTTCTACGGCTTGTATTCTACTTTTCGGTTTCATCGTTAATGTCCAGGTTTCTGACCCCCTCCCCCCCCCCCCCCCCAAAAAAAAAAGAATTGGAAGAAAGACGGATTTGAAGACTTTAATTTTAGTATCCCTTGAAATTTCTCGTTTGCATAGGAAGCTTTTATTCAGTGCATCACATGATTTAATGCAGACTTGATTCTTTCATTGATTTCAATTTCTTCTGTTCCTTTATCCAGAGTGCACCCTGTACACTAAAATTGCGCCACCTGCTCTACAGGATCATATATGCAGTTTCTGTTTGTAATCCTCATTATTTTTGATTTTTCTAAATTGACCTTCTTGTCATTTTTCTCCAAAGCTGTTTCCTAAATCTTCAAGTTTTGCTGCAAATAAGTTAGCCACATCACCTGCAAACGCACATTCCGACAGGTCAATTCCTTGTAAACATGGGAAGTGAAATCATGAGAACTCAGGAGAATGCGTACCTTGGGAATTATCAAGGTGAACTGTGCTTCCCTTAAAAGGTCGTGCAACTTCAAGGGTAATGAAGTTGCGCTTAACAGTCATTTCTTGTGTTTAGGACAACATCTCTCATTTCATTATTATTATTATTATTATTATTATTATGATAATTGAGATGAGCAGAGTACACAGTACTATAAGCTCATGCAGTAAATATAGTGTACGGACACGTAACACAAATACATCAAATAGAAAAAAATAAAAAAATACAGTTCATAGCTATAAAATTTGTACACTCCTCCAGCTATCATACTGCACTTTGAAGCTATTAACTGAAGTAGCACCAACCACACTTTCAGGTAAACTATTCCAGGTGTTGAGTATGCTGTTGGTAAGAAACCACTGTCGGACTGTTGTTTTAAATGGCTCCTTATGCAGTTTGAAGCTGTGTCCGCGTAGATTGCTGCGCGACAGATGGTATAGATGCATGAGGTTGGTGCCCATCAAACCATGAAGTATCCTGAACGTAACTATAAGATCGCCACGAAGTCTTCGCTCAGAGAATGAGGTCAGGTTGAATAATTCAAGGCGATCTTCATAGCTTGGTCTTCGTGCTCCAAAAGGGATACGAGTAGCCCGACGCTGTACTGATTCGACGAGATTTCTGTCGCGCAGAAGCACAGTGTCCCATACCGGGCCAACGAATTCAAGAATTGGCCTCACGAATGCCTTGTAAATGTAGGCGCAAGTGTTGACATCGGATCCTTTGAAAGACCTCTCCAGCATATATAGAAGTTTCTTGGCTTTTGATGTAACGTGGTGAATATGCTCTGACCAGGAAAGACGATCGTTGACTACAACGCCCAGATCAGTGTGGCTCGAAACTGCTTCGATGTTGTGGTCAGAGATCTTGTATGTAAATCGCGGATTTGTCTTCCCGAGGTGAAGGACACAACACTTAGTTAGATTTAAGGGTAAAAGCCAACTAACTGACCATTGACAAACAATATCAAGATCTCGTTGAAGCATAGCAGAATTTACGACAGTATTGTAAATCTTGGTGTCGTCAGCATAAGCTGAACATGCAATATATATGTATATATAATTGAATGCAGGCATAACAAGTATCGGCATGTAACATGAAATAAGTCATTTAGTCACTCCACAACTGGTTACGTGAATAGCTTCTACTGCTGTAGTCCGCACCTCACGTGGCATTTTTCTCAACCCTGTTTTAAAATAACGTTGCGAAGGCCATTCCAGCGAATGGAGATGAGCGATCATCCCCTATTGATTTTCCGTTCTTGCCACGCCGCGTCGCACCCGCTGTGGCCTGTGGGATCTGGGAGTTTCAAAGCTCCACCGATCCCCGATACTCCTCTCAAGGGAAATTCACTGCGTAAAGGGTGCAACAAGTCAACAGCTCACACCTCCCTTACAGGTAAACATCAGACAGGATTGAGTTTCGCTTAAGTGTCTGAAATGGCAGATTGTAAACGACATTGTTCGAGATTCTCAGAGGAGTTGTCGAGGAGTCGGAGATTTCCATTCTCATCCAATAATAGAGAAATCAAATGGAAATAGCATATACTCAGTGGCAAAGAAAATAGATTAGACACGGAATATAGGACTCTATTGTCTGGCAAAATCGAAACCATATATATGTTCAGATTGTTTAGTCTATTCGTACAAAATTTCGACTATCATTGTGGTCTTTTTCGAGTACAATGGATATCGGTGACAATATATTATCATCATTGCAATTTTAAGATGGCAACGTACAAAACCAGTAAAACCCAGAACCGCCTGGAGTAAGCATTCCGCTCCCAAAAAGGGCGTCCAGGTCTCCAAAGCGGCAAGCGAGCATGAGGTTCCAGAACCTCACGATAACTGGCGAGCTAATGCTAGGATAACACTAAGTCCTGCGATTGATAGAAGCTTTGCCCAGGTGATCAATGATGACCTTGGGAATGATATTGACCACGACCTTCAAGGTCATTTGAAGGTCAAGTCTTTTTTTAAGTAAACTCCCCATTTTGACCCCGTAAACGAAAAGATCGAAAATTCTTACATTCAAATTTCGTCGACTATTCTCAAATTTTGATCTTAGGAGACCATGGTCAAGGTAAAACCCAGATGATTTAATTTGAAAACCAGTTTTCGTAGAGAGAAGTGACCGAGACATATTTTCATGATTTATTCCGACTATCCAACAGTAACCTCAAATCTGACTTTTAATGTGACCTTCAAGCTCATTTCAAGGTCAAGCAGATTTTCTTGAATGGAACACCCATTTTTCACCCCACAAATGAAACAGAGCGGAGAACTTTACCTTCAAGTTAGGTCTTGAGTATTTTTAGATGTTGACCTTAGGAGGTCATGGTCAAGATTACATCCAGGTACGGTAAGATAAGTTGGAAACCGTGATTCGTATAGGTAAACTACCGAGATATTATTTTCATGATTTTCTGCAGATATTTGAAGGTGACCTTGAGTCTAACCTTGACCATGACCTCCTAAGGTCAAGATTTAAGAACGAGCAATAATATTTAGGCTTAAAGTTTTCCGCTGTTTTCATTTAAAGTTCCATTTAAAAAATCGACTTGACTTTTAAATGACCATGGTGAAGGTCAAATACAAGGTTACCAAAGGAGAGCTGGGGAAAACTCCTATCAATCACGGGAAATCAGAATTTGGTAAGTCTTTAATACCTATATACTTCATCATCAAGTCAGTCAAACAATTAGTCCATAGATACTGTTACCCTGGTTTACCATCTCGCAACGTTACACCTTCCCACAGTACTAGCAGAACAATCAAGCAGACCGTTACGCCGGGCGCTGAGCCCAGATAGCAGGAGTCGCGTATCGAAAACATTCTATCATTTGAAGTTGATGTCCTTAAAGCAAAACCATCGTGGCAGCAAAGTTGGCTTGAAAGAGAAGTAGCGATAGGTCGAAGGACAAGACAGATCCCTTTGTTGACTCAATTATTTCTGATTGAATGAGTCTGTTATCGATCCTGTCAAATATAGAACGCGCTGTCGATAGGGCGCATTTTAGGAGGAAATTAGAGGAACATCTTAATCTAATTAGCGAGATGATTCTCGACCCCGATGAAAATGAATTAGTGATAACGTTAATTGGAGTTTTATTATACCCGTGTAAGGTATTAGATTCCATGAAGTAAGCTATTAGGCTTATTAGCAAGATCTGTTTAGGTGCTGTAAATGTTTGTACACGGTCATTTCTGATGCTTTCCGGATAAATTGACGGGCTTTATTGACCAGTGGATCCCGCTACCCGGCTCTAGGGCCCGCAAGCCGATACCGACTAATTTTGAAAAGCAATTAATATTGATAGAAAGAACGATAAATATCGATAATTTATAAAAAAAATCATTCACGACAACCACTGTCATGCATCAAAATTTCCGAACGATACAATACCACAGTCTCTGTCATTCTCCTGTCATTTATCAAATCAAATTTATCATGATTCATTTTAGAATTGTTATTATATTGAAGAGTCTGAAAATTCTAAGCAAGAAATCCTTAAGTTATGATTTGTTAAAAAGATTTTATTTCATTTAAAACTGATAGCGGAAGGAATGTTACAGTGGTTGGTCGGTTTAGAAAAATATGTGTAAGAAAATAGATAATTGTTATAAGTTATTGACAAAAATTAGATTACCTTGTTTTCAATTTCATTAAGCAATCTATAATGAATATAATACGTTCTTCAATATAAGGAAGTAAATAGAACCGTTTTTCCTGTTCTATACTTAAAAAATTAGTTTTCAAAGAAAAATGATAACTACACTGGTTAACAAAACTTTAACTTTTTTTTGTCATGCGATGA